TCATTCTTTCTGATGGAGGCATAGAATTCCATTGTGTATGTATACCACATTTTCTTGATCCATTCATCTACCGAGGGGCATCTGGGTTGGAAGAGGGAAGGGAAGGGGAACAACAAAACAGTGAGACAAAGGACAAAGGGGGAACCGATGCAGCAGCGCTACTCACAAGACAATGTGTCGGAAATGATCTGCACAACTTGGGGGGAGGGGTGGGGAAGGGAAAGTGGGAGACAAATGAGGGAGGAGGTAACCAGTTTGACAAGAAATGTGCTCCCTACTACCTTATGTACTGTGACCCCTCCATGAAGTTAAATTTTAAAAATAAACACAATATTCTAATACTTGCAGTTTTTAAAAAAAAAAAGAAGCTGAAATTCCAGCCGGTGCCCAAGACAACTGTCTGAACATTCTGGAAAGCAGGCAGGGCTCATGGGGCAATCAGAATGGGCAGTGGCCAGCATGGGGGGCCACTCTACAGTCGTATTGGGGGAGGGGCGTCCACTTCAAAGGCAACCACAATGGTGGCCGAGGTCAGAGAGGTGGAGGTGCTGGCAGTGAAGACACAGGGGACCGAGCACGGGACAGGCCCAGTATGAGGAGGGAGGGACAGGCCCATGGAAGACAGCCAGAGAGTGGGAGCCCCAGCACTCTATGTACTTAAGCCTGCCCAGGTGCCCAGATGACCCCATCCATACACGCATGGCAGCTGACTGGGAGCCACACTCTCCGCCCCGCTGCCACCATGAGACTCAAGCCCCACAGGAGACCCGCCTGCTCAACTCAGTAGAGCTGCGCCACGCGGCTTGGTCACGTGGAAGTGACCGGCCATCAACTATGTGGTTGCTGGAGGAGTTTGGAGACATTACTCATTCATTCATTCATTCAACAACTGGCTCCGGTATCCTTCAGAGCTAGATGCTCTAAGAGATGCAAAACCCTTTAGCTATACTACCCTCAAGAAGCAGAGACAGCGACAGAGACAGAGAGACAGAGACAGACAGAAAAAGAGACAGACAGCTCTCCTAAAAGAAAGAACTTGGGGTGAGGAAAGAACATGGACTTCAGAGTGAAGGCAGAGTTTATGTTTCTGGGTGCACTACACCTCAGAGACTTGGAATTAATCCTATAGTATCCACTTTGTTCAGCTGTTGCAGGAATTAAGTAGTGGCATCTATTAATCCTCCACTCTCTGTTAGACATTGCTCTGAGCACTACCGATTCATAGCTTACTTCATCCTTAGGACAGCCTCATTAAGTAGGAACTAAATATCACCTGCACTATAGAGATGAGGGAAAATGAAGTCATGAGAATTTAAGTTTAAATCACTTGCTCAAGGTCACCAGGCAGGAAGTGATCAAAGACAGATTCAGATTCAAACAGCCTGGACTGTCCACGGTTACATCATAGTAACTAGTAATTTCAAATGACAAAGTGTGCATAACACACAGTAGGAGCTTTACAAATGGTAGATATTTCCTGGCTGCCAATGTATTGTTACTGCTGATCTGTTGCCACTATGAAAGGTTAAAAAAAAAAAAAAAAGGAAAGTTGAAGCTCAGTCACAAACTGGACTTTTGCAAGTTAAAATGTTACAAAAATGATCCATAACTTCCATGCACAAAAATGGATGCATACCTTAAGAATCAAAACTTGTGTTTGTCTATGGATACAGCCTATCTTTCCTTAGAACTAAGACATAAAGACATCCTTATTCACTCATTCACTGATCAGCTTGCCTCCTCTGACTGCCGTGCCAGCTCTCGGATGGCACTCTGAAAGGTACCACCAGAAAGCGGAGTTAAACCTAGGGATAGCACGCTCACGAGCCGTTAGTATATAGCTGTGGTCCCCACTGCTACTGGAGAAAAGAAAACAAGCAGAAATTTTGTAGTATTTCTATTCAAAAACATCTCAGAGAAACTGTGCTATACGTGGTGGGGAGGAGGAGGAAAAAAAGAAGAACTCAGTTATAAAAACAAAACTTATTCAGCATGCGCCAAACACAGAAATCAAGCTCATACTTTATAAGTCTCAATATTCTTTGTTTCCAGAAGGTGAAACTCTTATCCATTCAGAACAGAAGACTCTCAGCAGCTATGACTCCTAAGTAGAGAGGTGATTTAGGAATGCTATCAGACTGTAACGAAGCAACCACATTTGCTTCAGGCTTGGTAAGTTTATGAGGAACCTGTTGTGTGTTTCTTATGTAAACACATATGAGCTCATATGGTCCAGGACAGAATTTTTCTTTTTCTTTTTTGTTAGAATATTTTATTTAAAAATATAAATCAGAGTCTTATGTTTAGCTCTGTGGATGAGCAGTCGGTATATCCAAAGTGTGACTATATTCTGGAAAGATAAAGAAAGGAAGAGCATTAGGAATCACAAAAGTGGCCAGACTTCAGAAAAACACAGAGAAGAAGACTATTGACAGAGGAAAACAGAAAACTGTTTTTCTCCATCCTCAGATCCTGGGGCCGGGAGAAGGGGAATGAAATTGGGGAGATGGAATCACAAGTAAACAGCAGCGCTGGGGCTTGACCCCAGGCCGCCAGTTCTTGGCTTGCCCTTTCCATTCTTTTTCTTTTTCCTTGAAATTTACTTTACTGTTAATTTAAAGGAGACATAGAGAGGGATTACAATTACATGAATCGGGTAATGAGTACATTTCCTTTACTACAGTGTCTTCCCGTCCCTCGTGCTCAGAGTTGTTCACGAAGATGCTGCACCCCAGGGCACAGCACACAGCAACCGAACCCAAGAGTACATGATGCCCAAGCCAGTAATAGATAGAGTGCTTCGTTTCTGAACAATACACATTATTTGAAAGACAACTTTTATGACATGTGTTGTTATTGCCTTATAAATCCCTTTAAGATGAAAAGCATTACCACTGAAATCTGAGTTAGACGAGAGGATTTATATGGCTAGATGACTCAAGGCGATAAAATGCAGGCAAACAAAATAGTTCAGATAAAGCCTTGCAGTGCATTGCAGTGGGATTTCACCTGCAGGAGCCTCGGACGGACACAATGGTTGAGACCCCAGTCTTTCCCTGGTGGCATTTAGAGGTTAGGGAACTTTTCTCTATCAACATTTACTGGAAACAAGATGGATTTGTGAACTGAGCAAGAAAGCCTTAACCTCATATGTGAGAGTCAAAGATTTTTAAGAATAAAATTCCTTAAACACAGCAGTCTAGTCTCCCTATTTTATAACCAGGACAGGAAAGCTAGAAGATAGACAGACAGGCAGACAGACAGACAGACGGACGGACGGATGGATGGATAATAGATAATAGATAGACAGACATCATATTTATGTAGATATGATATATAGATATATCATTCAAGGTAATGTGAGTAATTAATCATTATAATCAGTAATGTGTTCAACACCAACTTCTCGCACATTGCAGAGAGCTTTTCTATTCACTAATGGATAAGGTGTCCACTAACATCACCCTTCTTTTAGAAAGGAGAAAAAAATGAGTCCCAGAATAGGAATAGTTTGGAAGAAGAGGTAGGCCTAGACTTCCAGCCTAACCAGTGTGACTCTAAAACCCACGTTCAGGGTCTCTTTGCTCTACCATTTCATTGTCAGGTCCAGACACAAGTCTCTTGACCTCCAAGCAGAGAAAGACACCCAGTTTTCACATGTGGTCATGGGAGCCTCTATCACAGAGGCCCCAATATCTGATCAGAAAGAAATGTGTTCTACTCAGCCGCTGCCCAGGGGAGAAGAAGCAGAGACCAGAATCCACCCTTTGTTGGCTGGTGTCTCCATCTCCATGCTAGGAGGCAGCTCCACCGATCACAGGTGCAGTCCATGGAGACACTGGCCCCTCAGGTGACCTGGGAGGCTGGTGGCTGCCCGCCAATGTCACTGCCCTCCTCCGGGATCTCCACGTGCAGAGTGAGGTGATCTGAGCACAGACATGGCTCCTGAGATAGCTGGGGCTCAGCATTAATCTCTGCAGAGGAGGGACTTGATTATATGTAGCTGTCAATGTCAATGTTGAGGATCGAGGGCTGACGGGAGAGTTTTAAGGGGAGAATCCCCTAATGCCACATTATTCTTACAACATTAAAGGTTTAAAAGTAATCTGCTCCACAGCATCCCTCCAAGCACAAACAGGAACCAAATTTCTTCAAAGTACAAAATCATTCCGTGAACATCAAGTTCCTCCTGTGATTATCTGCCTTGCTTCTATTATTCCAACTGTGAAAACTTTCTAAAATAAAAGAAGCTCTAAAGATGTGCTGCTCCAGGAGTTTTTACATTTTCTAAGATGGTATAAAGTTGATGGTGAGAAAAAAAACAGAGGTTAGATGCTGGTGGCTCTCACCTACAGTCCTAGCTACTCAGGAGGCTGAGATCTGAAGACTGTGGTTCAAAGCCATCTGGGGCAGGAGACTCCATGACACCCTTATCTCCAATTAACCACCAAAAAAGTCCAGAAGTGGATCTGTGGCTCAAGTGGTATAGCACAAGCCTTGAGTAAAAGAGCTAAGGGACAAAACCCTGGGCCTGATTTCAAGCCCCAGCACTAACATACACATACACAGACAGACAGACAGACAGACAGACAGACAGACAGACACACACACACACACACACACACACACACACACACACACACACACACAACACACACACACACAAAGTAGATGCAACTTATGCTCAATTTTTAATGTGAACTGAGAGCAAAAACTAAATAAAACAGAAACTTGAAAGAGTAAAACCTCACGTTTAGGAAGAGACTATTTCATTACAGAAATTCAGTCTTCATAACTATACCCAAATCTCCACATTATGTGTAATATTCAGACAACTTTCAAGCTATTCTACTTATGGACCTCTTCCATTTCTCTTTTATAAATGAAATGAAGCTCTCTTATGTAGAGTTTTCAGGCATTTAAAGTTAAACACTTATACAATGACTATTTGCTTTGAAGTGGGAATGAAAATCGACCCCAGGTAATGACTTCCAGCTCACCTTCGGGACACTCGCAGGAGAATCCACTGAGATTAGAGGTGCACTTTGCTCCATTTCGGCAGGGATCTAGGACACAGTAATCAATCTTGGATTGGCAAAGCTCTCCGGTGTAACCTGCAAAGTACAAGATGGACATTTTATAAGATGTGCTATTGTTCCCAGACCACCATGAGCCACGCTAGTAATTGATGGGCTCAACTGGTACCTGCCCAAGGTAGCAGCAGCTTTCTAGTCTCTCCGCCACCCCCTGGATCTCTTGCAGGTTTATGGCAGAACAACCCTAGCACTTTAGAATCATAGTTTAAAAACGCATCTACTTTGGAAAAGCCTTCAAATTAGGGTTATGTTTATGTGGTGGGACCTCCAGAAGCCAAAAGCTGAATATCATTGTACTGCTCACGGCTTCCTACTGAAGTAAGAACTTTCCTTGGGCTGGGAAGGTGGCTCAGTGGTAGAGCGCTTGCCTTGCATGCAGGAGGCCCTGGGTTCGATTCCCCAGCACCACATAAGCAAAAAGGAAAAAATGCTGGAAGTGGTGCTATAGCTCAAGTGGTAAAGCGCTAGCCTTGAGCTGAAGAGCTGAGGGACAGTGCCCAGGCCCAGAGTTCAGGCCCCATGACCAGATCCAAAAAAAAAAAAAGAACTTTCCTTGTTGGGCTGGACCTAAATGAGGGGATGGTCTGATGGTCACTTTCCCCAAGTCATCACAATACCCATAGAAAAAGCATTGGAAAAATGTCTGGGTATGGACATTTTTTATTTATAATATATTAGAGCCATGAGAATCTATGTTCATTGCAGCACAATAGCCAAGATATGCAAACAACCCAATTGCCCCATTATAGATGAATGGATCCAAAATAGCCAAGATATGCAATAACCAAGGTATACAAACAACCCAAACACCCCACTACAGATGAGTGGATCCCAAAATTGTGGTACCTATATACACTGGAATATTACACAGCCATTAGAAAGGACAAAATAATAGCATTCCCAGGGAAAGAACAAATCGTGGGGAGCAAGGTAAGCCAAGATCAGAAAGACAAACAGCACATGGTCTCCCTGATATGTGGATGTTAAATTCAAACTGCAAGGAGATATGACAAAGTAAACAGGACTCAAGAAACAAAGGACCTCTTCTTAATTTGTCACATCATTTTTAGATGACCCCATGTTCTTGACCTCCTATATGGTATATGCCTGTGCACATCTGAGGGAAGCTAGGAGGAGGCACAGAATCAGAGGGAAACAGGAGACTAAACAACAGAGGGGCCCATCAGCTGCACTGGACATTGAAAACGAACTAAACAACTCAAGGGCAGCAATGGGAGGGAGGGAATGAGAAAGAAAGAAGGAACAGCTTACACTAAGCAAAAGGAAAGGAATGTACATTTCACCCAATTTAGAAAAAATAGCTGTAGTGTCAGTTTGTAGAGTTCATAAGCTTTATAGACCCTGATCATGACAATGCGCTTGTGAAGGTTAAAATGTGTTTATGACTTTAGCTAAGTACCACTATCCCACAACACTGTGAATTTTGTGAAATTTATGTAATCAGTCTCAATAAAGAAAAAAAAAACAAAGTGGGAAATAGATATGATATTAATAGTTGAAAATGCAAGACAACGTAAAAAGAGAAAAAGAAGGTGTCCTTAGTTATCATCGCTAAGATTACAAGTGTGAGCCACCACAGCCCAGCTTCTGGAGCTGATTCTGATGAATTTTTCCACACAGATATTTTCAACACAATTGTAATTATACTGTAACATCTTACATATTTCTCAGATGGTTTCATTACACAGAAAGTTGTCTTTCTAAATTATTCTTTTGAAAGACTGTCATTAGCTCTTGCACCTGATATTCGCAAAAATAACTCAGTGGTACTAGATGGAAGATAATTGGTCTGAACTTCAGTTACCTGACTAACAGAAATCACAGACTGCCAATGTGAAACAAGTATTTCTAGCCTACCCATCCTCCCATGCTTCAAAGCAGTCTAGGAGACTCTAGTTCAGTCTAGATTGTAGTTTCGAGCCTTCAAACTAAACTTTCTAACGTCAGGACCAATGACAACTTCAAAACGCCAGGAGAGAATATCTCCATATAATAATATTAAGCCAAGACTATGTTTCCAAACAGAAGCTCTAATTTCAAAGTGTAAGGAGAGCTGTTTGTTGTAAGCGGGGTGTAGAAATAACCTTTGACTAAAAATGGTAACTAGCATTTACAATAGAGAGCTTATTTTTATATCCATTTTTAAAAACTCATCCTCCCTGAAACTCTATCAGGTCAGTACGATGTGGTCACCCCCAAGGAGACAGAATTGGGAAGGGAAAGGCATTTGCACACATCACCAAGGAGTCAAGCACCTGCACCCAAGCCCTTAAAGACAACTTTATGCCGAAGGCAGGGGACCATCATCAATGAACAGGTGTCCAGTACATGGAGGAAAAAAACAACAAAATAATGCAGAGGAAACATGTCCTAGAAACAGAGATAGATACAAAGTAAAGCCATTGACACCCATCCTTAGCTCACAGCCTGTGTATGGGTACACCAGCTGGACTTGCTGAGAGTTATTTGTTAATCCCTGCCTCCAGAGACTGAACAATAGGTAAAAGATGGTTGATTATGTGTGGGCTGTTAGAGGTCCCATGGTTCCCAAGACCTGAGTGGCCTTGTGAATCCTGTTATTGGGAAGATCTTAGAACTGTAGCCACTGAGTCCCATAAAATGAAAACTCATGGCCAGGTAGAAAGAACAAAAGAAGAATGAAGGATTCTGTGAAGTTCAAAGTCCTTTGAAGAAAAATTTGACAAGCACTTTCTTTGACCTTTTAATTTGGAAATTTTAGACAGACTTAAACAGAAAGAACTCACATGTAAAAGCCATACATATCCACCACCTAACTTCAACAGTTACTATCATTTTTACACATCATTTTATGCATAAAATAATTTAATTTTAATCAAATATTTAAATTAACATTTAAATAATTTAAATTTTTAATCTGATCCTCTCATTTGTTCAGATTTTCTCTAGGAGGAATCTTAAAGTGAATTTCATTTCACCTATAAATATTTCTATATGCATTCCTCCAAAAAGGAGGTTTTTTTTAAATTTAATTTTATTTTATTTGAGAACATACTGTACAGAGGGGTTACAATTACATGGGCAGGATAATGCATACATTTCTTACCAAGCATTGCAGCCTCCTCCTTTGTTTACCCTTCACCTCCCTTCCCAGCCTCCCCCCTCCCCCCCACTCAATCCTTCCCCCCCTCCCTCCCCCACCGACATTGTAAAGCTCGTTTTTGACATGACATTTTGTACTTCTCATTGTTGCAACAGGTCCACCTGAATCCTTAAATGACTTGTTTGTCCCCATCTCCTCCACAAGTTATACTGACATCAAATATAGTGAAAACGGGGGTTACACTGTGGGGGAGGGACATACAAAGCAACAAAGAAATAATCTTATAAATGCGTTAGAAACACATGCATGAAAGAAAAAAAACATTAAAATACATATTTAAGGGTTCGTTTTCCTAACATCACATTATCTGACCTTTTCTGCTTGACTCATACATATACTAGATATTGCAAATAAGGGAAACCATGGGACCTATGTTTCTTTGGGCCTGGCTTACTTCACTTAATATAATTTTTTCCAAGCCTTTCCATTTCCTAACAAATGAAGAAATGTCATTCTTTCTGATGGAGGCATAGAATTCCATTATGTATATATACCACATTTTCTTGATCCATTCATCTACTGAGGGGCATCTGGGTTGGTTCCATATCTTAGCTATGGTAAATAATGCTGCAATAAACATAGTTGTGCTGGTAGCTTTAGTGTGGTCTTGTTTGTAAACATTTGGGTAAATGCCCAAAAGTGGGATTGCTGGGTCATAGGGGAGTTCTATGTGAAGTCTTTTGAGGAACCTCAAAAAGGAGATTTTTTTAAAAGATCTCTTTTAATGGCTTCTTTAATGAATGTTTGATTCCCATTTATAAATTTATTTAAACACTCTAAGCCGCATGTACTGATAGCAAAAATTTTCCTTTTGTCTTTTCTCTTTTTTTTGGTACTGGGATTGAACCCAGGACGTTGCTCTTGCTAGGCAAGCGCTTTGCCACTGAGCTACATCCCAGCAATAAAATTTTCCTTTTAAAGAACTGCAGTCGTGGTCAGCGGTTCACGCCTATAATTCTACTTCTCAGGAGTCTGAGATCTGAGAATCACAGTACAAAGTCAGCCCAGGCAGGAAAGTCCATGAAACTCTTGTCTCCAATTAACCACCAAAAATCTGGAAATAAAGTTGTGACCCAAGTGGTAGAGTGCTAGCCTTGAACAAAGAAAGTTAATAGCACCCAGGTACTGAGTTTAAGCCCCCGTACTGGAAGAAAAAAGAAAAAAAAAAGACACCCTATCTAAGTGACATGCAATTTCAATGCTGGGAAGCAAAAATGATTGAACAGGAAAGAAAAAGAGTAAGATCCACTTGGATAGGAGAAACACACAAACATCTGATCAAATAAAAACATGGTTTAAAAACCAAAGGCAATGAAGGAAAGGTGTATGTGGCCCATTACAAGAGGCAGTTCATAAACTGTAATTAAAATGGAGGTCTATGATATACAAATAGAAGTATGAGAGAAAGCTGATATTCAGCTGAGTTATAGAAATGAGTCTCAAGGTTAGAAACACAGCATCTTTAGTGAATAACCACAGGCAGCAAGCACCAGGCCAAGGACAGCAGCTCTGGGAGTTAAAGTTCCAGGAAGGCAATTCAATACTCAGCTAGTCCGCAGATTGACTTTGCCTTCATTTCCATGGGTGAAATTAAGACAGCTAGCTCCCAGCTGAGTGGGATCAGCTACACACCCCAGCATTCCCTGCACCTGGCACACACCTCAGAGGTAAGAGAATCGTTTTTGAATGAGTGCGGAATGCATGGATTCTTTTTGAATCTGCAAAGCAGTATGCCGTTCTTGTTTGATCTCTCTGCTTTGAACAAGGCACTTTTATTTGGGGGGGGTATTTTTTGATAAGTTTTTTATTGTGAAAATACTGCACAGAGGGGTTCCAGTTACATGAGCAAGGTAAT